TTTGGGTATCTTTAATATCATCCTATACAAGCAAACAGAATTTAATCTTAGAACATTTTTTGCTTTATTTTTAGGCCAGGAAAGCAGTTCACCAGGAGTTCACTGGAGTTGCCATTCTAGGATGGTATATTTAGAGTAGAAGATTCCAGGGTCCCAGGGATACTGCTGCACCCTATCAGCAGTACCCTAATGGGGACGAAAGATGGGGATGGATTAATGACCTTTCATACCTTAGACTTAAGGACCTAATGATATGTACACCTGAAAGCATCTCAAAGCCAGCAAGTACTTCTATATTCTCTTGCCCCTACCCATTACTAAACTTAGAACCTGTCCATTGAGTTAGATTTGGAAATTTACTGAGGGACTCCCAGTATTTACAATGGCAACTCAACGGAAAACTTTGCAGTTTTTCTACCATAAGTCTCTCCCATTGCCACAAATTGTATTTTTCTCTTCAGACCAATATTATCTAAAGTGTAGACTGGAGAGAAATGTCCCATGACATGTTTCACCAAAAATGGAAGCATATAGCATACCATTCCTGGTAGGTATTCCTAAGTTAAAATAACATTTTAAAGAGTGAAATATTTTTAATTATAAAAATAAATAATCCAACACAAGCTGCACACGACATTTAAATTTGATTCTCAGGCTTCCCAAAATTTGTTTCACCAAGGTATTGTTTTGTTATTTTGTATGAGTTTTCTCATTTCTACCTGCTGCTATGCAAAATTACTTTGTGTGTCTTTATTAAATTCAAGTTGGGGGTGCCTGGGTGGCTCAGATGGTTAAGTGTCTTCCTTTGGCTCAGGTCATGATCTCAGGGTCCTGGGATTGAGCCCCGCATCAGGCTCCCAGCTTAGTGGAGAGCCTGCTTCTCCCTCTCCCTCTGCTTCTCCTGCTTGTTCACTTTCTCTCTCTCAAATGAATAAATAAAATCTTTAAAAATATAAAATAAAAAAATTAATAAATAAATTGAGGTTGGCCTTAGTCCATGTAAACTTACCAGGTGTCTTCTATTTATTCTTTATTGCTCTGTAACCTAATTAGATACTCACAGGAAACTTAAAAACCCTTTTTTTAATAACTGAATAATTGTATTAATCTTTGTTTATCCTATAATGAAGTTTGTAATTAATGGTGTTCATGAGCTTGCTACCATTGTCTTTGCTTTATCTGCTTACTCAGCTTAATACTTTGAGGATCCATATACTTAGAAAATTTCACCTTTTTTCCTTTAAACTGCAGTTCATACTCTGTCTCTTATAAGGTACTGCCTTACATCTTCCAAACAATTTGATATTTAATATTTAAAATTTAGCTAATATCAACTAGTGTGTGTGTGTGTGTGTGTGTGTGATGTCTATCTAATTATTTGATATAATAATTTTCCAGGGAGACAAAAGGAATTTGCCATTTTTCTCCTGTTATAGCACCTGTGGCTTGTGAACCCTGTATTTCATTACTAAATTATGGAAAATGAAGTTTTAACTAGTTTCACCCCTATAATATGCCTAGTTTATTTGTTATACCTTTGAAAATGTTTCTCTTAGGCTGTTCTTTTGTTCAGCAGCAAACTTTTCCCTGGTTCCTTTTTTTTTCTTTCATAGTTTGCTCTTTTCAATTTTGAATTCTGCTTGCTTATGTAAAGTGACAACCTGTTGGCAAGAAATTTGTGAAAATTAAACTGATTTTACAATTATTGTATGTTTTCACTTTGATAACTTCATATTTAAAAGATATATTTAATACTGAATACTTTATGAACACTTGGGAACTCTGATGAACTCTTATTTTTGTAGCTATCTTGTAAGGATTTTATTTGCTTATGTTACAGCTGATCTGGAAGAAATGCACCATCTATTTTGTAGAGTTTGATTTTGTAGGGTTTGGGTCACAGCAAGCTGTCTCTGAGCACACTTTTCAGTTTCACAGGTTTTCTTATTCATAATCAGGTGTTCTGATCGTTCATGATTTTCTTGAAATTCCTGCAATATCTACTGGTGAATATTGTCATTTTTAGAAATTTCTGTCATTAAATCATAGTTTTTTCCCCCCACATTATACTCTTCATGAGTTTTTCTATCAAAATATGAAATGTATTTTCCAATTTTAATGAGTTTTCTTTTCCACAGGGAGAAAATAAATTTTCACATATTTAAGCCACAAAGACAGTTGTTTGTAAATAGAATACCTTTCTCTGTTTTGATTTTTAACTTTTTTTTAATGTTATGTTAGTCACCATACAGTACATCATTAGTTTTTGATGTAGTGTTCCATGATTAAATTTAAGTCGCAGAGGTCAGATTAATTTCTATCAGATTTTCCTTCCTTGAGCTTTGGATTTTATTTTTGTATTTAGAGTTTATTCTTAAAGATCATTTCTAATTTTATTTTGCCATCATTATTAAAGAAATTATATTAACATATTTGTTTTTTATCATAGTTGTAAATTATCATTTGTTTTTTAGAATCAATTTTAACTGTTGTTTTGAAATAACCAAATACAGATTTCTAAAAAATCTGACAAAATATATCAAGCGGAAATAGACATTTCTACTGATTTTGTGTTTCATTAAGCAAATTACATGTTATGCAACTATAATTTCACTGTATGTATGTGTCATAATCATATGGCAGGTGGATATAAGAATATTTGTAAAAATTAATTTGTAGTATTTACATTATTTTACAATGTTTTCAAGTATCAGTGAGGTTTAGATAAAGTTATAAACTTAAGAGTGGGCAATTGGGAAGGCAAATGACATTGAAATAAGTGTTAACAAATTAAGGACCATAAAACAATCAGATAATTCAACTGTATTTTTCCTAAAGTACTATCTATCTTAAATATGAAAACATGGGATAGGAAAAAAAAGTCCATTAAATATGATGACTTTAAATACTATCTTTGCTCCTAGCACATAAAAGTTTCTCCACTACTTGTTTTTTTTTTAAATATTCTAGCACCATAAAAAATGGTGGTACTGTTTATTATTTATATCCACTTTCAGTTGTACTACAGAAATTCAAATATTGGCTCTCTAATATCCATCCAAGCCTTGTAAAGTTTAATCCAGTAACATTGAGTATTTATATTAATGGTTACTGTTTTAGCAACCTCTCTTCTTTTAAATATTTATTACTAGATTCATTTTCACTAAACCAGAAGATAATACATAATCAACATTTTTATGGATTTTAAGAAAACAACTATAACTAAATCACCGATAGTTTTACTACATGTCAGGTAGTAAATCCTGGGGAAGAATCAAATCAAAATATATTTCTCATGTTTGTAACTAATTATGCTGATCATTTCAACAAATTAAAGATGATATATATCTGCCAACATGCAGTATTGTCTTTTTCATTCAAGATTAGAAATGTAATTAGTGATATTTTCATTTTTGGTAAACACAAATATATAACTATTTCATATATATGTGACATATATATCTTAAACTATTATATTAGTACACATGGAAATAATTCTTATTTATACTCATTAAACAATGCATTTCATTTTTCTGGACTGTATAAGAGCATATAATATTTAAATATTTTTAAAAACCTAGCTTATAAAGAGAGCATATCAAAAGACATATTGTCCTAAAGCATCATATTTCATTTTGTATAAAGGATACCATCCTAAATAGTTCAGTTTTCCTTAGAAAGCGTTTTTATGTTTGTGTAGTTCTAAGTATGCTTCTGATCTGACTCACACAAGCGTATGTTCAAATATAGCCTGATTTGAATTAATGCAGTGTAATTATATTTTTTTTCAAAATTTTATTTTATTTGAGATGGAGCAATAGAGAGTGAGCACAAGGGGGCAGGGGCAAAGGCAGAGGGAGAAGCTGACTCCCCGCTGAGCAGGGAGCCCGAAATGGGACTCGATCCCAGGACCCTGAGATCATGACCTGAGCTGAAGGCAGAGGCTTACCCGACTGAGCCACCCAGGCGCCCCTGTAATTATATTTTTCTTGAGGATATTGTTAATTTTACATGGGAGGACTCATTAGTGAAAATGAATACGTATGTCATACCATTTAACACCTTCACCATGCAAAGTTGCTAAAACAGTATGGAAAAAACCTCCTAAGGAAAATTTGATATAGCTTTCCTATGCTTTTCCAGACCTATTTTCAACACTGCTAAAAGGGGGGAAAATTCGAGAAGGCACTGAAGAGACCACCTCACCAGACCCTGATGTTACTTCTCCTCTGGATGTACATGCTGCAGCTCCATAGGAGCCAGGTTGGAAAAGTTTCTAGGAAAACAACATATTCCTTAATAACATATATTTTTAAGTAGAAAGATTTTTTTCTATGGCAGTTTGTCTTTTTAGGCCCCAGAATTAAGTACATGAAAAAGTCTGTACTTTTAGTTTGAACTTACCATTTATTTCTTGTTATTTAAAAAATATATCAGTGACAAACATCTGGCTTCTCAAAAATATTTTTGAAATATGGTTTTAAAGCATGCAAAATTAGCTAATTAAAAACATGGTTCTATTTTATATATACTATAAAAATATCAAGCTGTTATTAATTCATTATACTAGACTTTGAGGTTAAATGATTATAAAAATGTATATCAAATTTTTCAAGCACTTCTATATATACTACATAAATGGCAGTAGGTAGTTTCTATATGCCCTTTTCTCTATACCTCAAGCTCTATATTTATTATTGCTCTTGATTCCAAGTGAAAGTTTAAAAGATAATTAAATATTCATATAATGTTGTTAATTCTCTATACCTGGGAGGACTATGGAGAGATAGGAGAGTGAGGTAGCAAAACGACCTTAAAAGGGCATTTTTTAAAGACTAATCTCAAAACCTAAATTTCAGATTTTGTATATTTTGAAATATAATGAGTCTCCACTCAGATTATTGAAATGCATTGCAATAAAGACGGATGATAGTAATTCCATGACTAGAGATTGCACATTGTGATTGTAACTGATGTATTTTTTTTTTAAAACATAGTCAATCGCTTCTTGGCCTTTTGGCTAAATCAAATGTAGTATCTGTTCTTATCAGCTTAATATCTTATATTCCTCTATCTGAAGATAATATGTAAATGGATTTTTGGAGCAGGGAGGTGGAATATTGGCTTGCTCCATCCACTCCCTTCCATCGACCTGGTATTGCGGTACTTCCAGGAATGGTGCCCTCTGCACCACACACACATAAGGCACAGTCAAGACTTTTAAAAGATATAGTCACTTAGAAGTAATCAAAAGATATGTAAATGAAGAATGTAAAACATAATTCAACTATGGGAACATAAATGAAGTTAATTTTTAAGTAAAAGATATAAGAAAAGCAATAGTTATACCACTGACAGTTTAATTCTGAAATGATAAGTGCACAAAAATAGGAATTATCTTTGCATGTGTATAAGAGCTAATGTTATAATAGTGTATATCTACATGTCTGCTCAATCCAAACGTGACACTTCTAAAGTTTAAGACATCTTTCTAATTGTTTATAGTTCTCTCGCCAACTTTTTCACAGAAAAATCTATACTTGGTTTATAGTCTTTATCATATTTGCCTTGTATTACAATTATTATTTCAGGGAAGTGTGCTTTGTTGTTCTTATTCTTCTTTTCTTAGTATTCAGTTGTAAACTCCTTGGTAGAAGTGATTGTATCTCAATATATCATTGTTTCTGTCTCCTATGAGGTTTGATAAATTGATTTTAAAATATTAATTACACAGGAAGTTTGTTGATAGAACTAAATGTACAAAGTCAGACACTAAAAAAAAAACTTGGTGGGGCACCTGGGTGGATCAATCGGTTAAGTTGTCTGACTTGATTTTGGCTCAGGTCATGATTTCAGGGGTTGTGCGATCGAGCCCCGCGTTGTGCTCCACACTGGGCTGGTGAGAAACCTGCTTAAGATTCTCTCTCTCCCTCTCCTCTTTCCTCTCTTCCCTCTCTAAAACAAAAACAAACAAACAGAAAATCTTGGCAAAAAGATATGCTTTATAGATAAAATAGGCTATTGGTTCCTAACACTTTGTATTTATTAATTTCAGAAGCATTTATAAATCCATCTGCCTGGAAACTGTAAAGCAACTTTGGCGTATGAGGCTATCTTTTCTTAATGGCCTAACACATTACTAATTTGGACAGACTAGAATAGTGGTCCAAATCCTATTTTAAAAAATTCTAACTTTTTCATGTTGCATTGAGTAAAGACTCAATGAGAATGAACTGATTAGTTATCAGTCTAAATAAAATAAGCAATAATAAACATAACCCTAAAGTAAAGAATAGCATGGGGTCCTTTATTTTTTATAAATGAGAGCACTGCTGACAAATTTAGCTGCTCTAAGTTCTGTACAGTATGGATCACCAAAACTGAAAAGAGACAGGCAACAAATGTTAAGATAAAAATGGACCAAGAACAAAATTTTCTGAGAGATTGAGATAGGGAAAAAATAACGTCATTAAATCCTGTTAATAAATAATTTTAATTGAAGTGGTAAACATATTTTTTTCAGTCAAGAAGAAAGGGTCATAAATACATCAGATTTAGGAGTTCATAGTGACAGGTGAAGTTGAGCAATAGCTCTATAAATAACTGCTCCCAATAAATGAAGCAAATCTCTGGAGGGACTGTAAGAAAGGATTATAGTCCTTTAAAAAGGATCTGGGGAGTAAGAGATAATTTAGTTCAAACCTCTCATTTTTGTCTCATCGTAGAGACTGTATATCTTTATGTGAAGTATACATATATGTGTATCTCTATATATACACACATATGTATGCATACATACATCATATTAAAGTTGTAGAGGAAAGATGAGCTAGCAGCCTATATTTTCCTGGGGAATAAACTATAAAAATTAACTATTAAATGAAAATAAAGGAGATAACAAAAGTGAATTTAACATTTTGGAAATTATCACTGAAATGTAAGAAAGGTGAATTATGCAATTCATGATACATGTTCTCTAATATTAATAGTATTAATCTAATGTATCATCAATTGTATTATATACATCAGCATATAAATATGCTGCCATATGTTCATCCCCCTTCAGGTACTACACGTTTCTCTAAAAAAATTTCCTTGAAAAATTATCTATATGTTGTCTTCATTACTTCTCCATGCAAGGGCTGTCTGTATTCCCCATCTTTTCTCACAAAGTCATTCCGCTTTTGTCCAACTGTTCTGCCAAAACAACCCAACTCAAGATCATATGCTCACATTGTCAAATTTAGAAGTCAATTTTCAGCCTTCATCTTATTTGAATTATCAATAGCATTAATCATATATATTAGCTACCTCTTTTTTGAAACAATTCTCTCAGTTGGTTTCCATAACAGCACTCTATTTTGGTTCTTTTCTTATCTTTTCTATTTTCTTGGTTGATTTCTCATCCAAGGATCGGTAATTTGATTCTCATATTGCCATTTACTCTCCATGTAGTTTTATTCAGCCTCAAGATTTCATATTAACTGAATCCTGAATATATGTTCTAACCTAGATTTCTCCTCTGAGCTCATACTTGTACATCCAGAAGTGTACTTGGTCACCTAACCACTCTCTACATCAGTTTCTTTATTAGTAAGATTTGGTTAATAATAATTAATGACCTCATGGGATTGTTTGAGAATTAAATGAGATATTTAATGAAGTGTGCATATAACATGCTAAATAATATTATCTGTCAGTGCAGTATATGACATTAAACCTCTATAATTTATAGGGATTGCAAGAGAATGATACAGGGTTAAATAGGTAACAATTTTAATGACTTAAAAGCATAAAAGGAAGGAAAGAGGAATGAAGAGAATTTACTCCTGAAATTTTTTACGTAATGCAAATACAATTTTATTTTTTAAAATGTTTTATTTATTTATTCATGAGAGTCAGAGAGAGAGAGAGAGAGACAGAGGCAGAGGCAGAGGAAGAGGAAGAGGGAGAAGCAGGCTCCTCGCCTAGCAGGGAGCCTCATGCGGGACTCAGTCCCAGGACCCTGGGATCATGACCTGAGCCAAAGGCAGACGCTTAACCATCTGAGCCACCCAGGCGCCCCGCAAATACAATTTTAAATTGTATTTTTTTCCTTTCTCTCCCCGCTTATTTAAATATCAGTGTTTTCAGTGCTTTCTCTTCCATTTTTCCTCTACTGTTTAAACTTATTCCCCCCTGCGACATCTCATTTGTGGCTGTCATAATCATAGAAGGCTAAATATTAATCAAAATATTTTCTATAGTCCTGAACTTTTATCTGAGGCCCAGCACCATAATCCATATTGAATACTAGAAATTCAAGTCTTAATATTAAATGCTTTATGTCCACAAACTTAACAGTCTTAACACTACACTTTTTGTGTCCTTCACTTTCTAAAATAATGTCCTTTTCATTCAATGTCTTCTAACTTAATGAAGTTCTATCTAGGCCAACTTCTGTTTTAAAGCCTTCAATGACTTGCATTGTCTGAAGTTGCTGTATTTAACGGGCTCTGTAAGTTCTTGGAAACCTGGTGTGCACCTGAATTTCCAGCTTCGTATTCTTTCTTTCCAACAGCCTTATGTTCCAACCACAATTTCCATCTTAGAGCCCTGTGGGAATAATTTATAATCTGTTTCTCTCTACCTACTAGGGATTCTCTTATTTTCTAGTTCTTGGTCTGGGCTAAAACTGTTCATTCCCCAATTCACATACTGATACCATGCCTGGTCTGTGAAGCCTAGGACCTCTTAGGCAAGAGTTAATCACTGTTGACCCTAGGCTCCCATGGCATCTTGTGCAGAATGGTGGTATAACCCTTATTGCCCTTGCTGTTCTGAGGTGTACTGACTTGTGGCTCTCTCCCTTATGGACTTGAAATTCTGTGAAGTCAAGAACTGTGTCTTTTTCTCAGCTGGTAATGTACTAATTCATGAACAAATAACTTTAGTAACTGGATTTTTAAAATTGAAAAAACTGAACAATGGAAATTAAACAGAAACAACTGATCATTTGTAAGAGAATCTTTTGAAGACACATTTACTCCTTAATAACTAATTATTTGTCTACTCTCAAGCCTTCTGATTCTATGACAGATTTTTAAGTATTATTTTACTGTATATGTCCAAGTTGAACTTTATTCACTTTTCATTACTTTACTTTTTTAAAGATTTATGAGAGAGAGCACAAGCAGGGAGCTGAGGGAGAGGGAGACCAGTAGAATCCCTGCTGAGTGGGGAGCCCGACATGGGGCTTGTTCCCAGGATGATAAGATCATAACCTAAGCTGATAAAAAGAGTCCGATGCTTAACCAACTGAGCCACCTGGGCGCCCCACTTTTCATTACTTTATATATGTATATTTCTGTACACATCACAATTGCCATCCTCCGTTGTGATATATCATTTTTACCAATATCTATAATTTCTACCTAGTTGTTCAGCATTAAACATTGAAATATTGTCCACTAGAATTAGTGATTTAAGACAGATGGTATTTACTAATTACAATTTTCTTATAATTTAGCCTATGTTTATTTATTTTTTCTTTTTTATTATTCTTTGGTTATAAAGTATATTTTAGTTTTGACTTCTTGGCTTTTCTTTTTATTTAGTTAAGATCTGATATTCAGTGTTGGCAGTGACATTATAATAGTGAAAAATAACTCATTTCTTATTCATTAATTGCTCCACTGTTTCAAATCCCATTTTCAAGAAAAAATAATAAATGTTCTGGTAGAAGGCACATTTTCTTTAGCTTCACCAATATTTGCCTTACAACCAGATGCTGGTTCCATACCATCTACTTTTGTATCCTGCATTACTTTTTACCTATCATTTAATTTAAATTCTTGTTCTAATATACTTTATCTATTTGTGATGTAAAAAAAATTGAAATATGCCTTCTTTAGTTTCATTATCTTTTAATGAACTTACTTGATAAAGCAATAGTATTTACAAAGTACTCATTACTAACTACTCAGTTTGTAATACCTCCTAGTAAAAAGGTAAATAATTTTTAGCTGAAAGAATTTAGGTATTTAAGAGACAATCCCTGCCTATGATGTAATAGATTATGAACTCAATAGATCAGCATCATCATTATCATAACTCTGTTTTACATTGTATCTCAAAGTTTATCAATATCTTAAGTTATGGAGGTATAACATCCTCATATCAACCCTGTGAAGTCATATTTTTTTCTTTA